AACCACTTTGAATACACAGATACAAAATGGACATTCATCGGTATACCCAATTTTTTCTAAGTTCCGTTATTGAACATCATAGGTGTGTAAACTCAGCAAAGTATTCAAAAAGAGTCCAGTAGACCATAATAGCATTGGGTCTTCTGTTTAACTGGCAATGTCAGAAATTATTGACCTGAGTCCCCCATTTCTGTGGCTTCTTGGTAGAGCAGTTGGGATTTGGGGTCAGCAAGCAAGGAAGCCCTGGGCATGGGGTGGGAGGCGGGGAGGCTGGCAGCTGTGTTAGATGGAGGCCACCACCAGGCACATGTCTGCTCAGCTGCCTACCCAGCGGGAATCCTTATAAAGTGCCCGGAGGAGCAAGCCAACAGCTGCAATATAGTTTGACCTCCTCCCACTTTGTTGAAGTTTGGGCAGCAATCTTTTTTTCCTTTATCTACATTTTCTGTGTTGTCTTTTTTTGCAGAATGTGGTGGTGCATTCCTGTAACCCCAGCACTTGGGAGGTTGAGGCAGGATTACAAGCCTAGGCTACATAATGAATTCAAGACCAGCTTGGAGTACACAGTGAGACCCAGTCTGAACAAACAAACAAACAAACAAATAAACAAACAAACACATCTGTTTTGAGGAACAGTGAATGTGGCTGGCCAATGCTTGTGCTGACCAGGAGAGCCCAGACTTGCTCTGTCATACTGGAAGCACCCGCCCTCCTCAGCAGCCCAGTCTCCTTGGCAGAGTAATGTCAAGGCCTGTAGGTGGCTCCCAGATTGTCCTGATTCGGGAGGAGGCAGCGCAGGCCCAAATGGAAACCACGTCCCGGGCCATGGTCACATGGAGAAGGCCATCGCCAGATCAGGCATGATGGGCAACTGGAACAGCCTCAGCCCACCCTGGAAACCATGGCACTGCCCACCTCCAGGCCTCGATGGTTGAAGTGCCCCTGCCCTGAGCTGGCTGGAGGATTAGGTGGGGAGAGCCCTGGCACACAGAGCCCTCTGGCCAGCACAGAGCCAGCTTTCAGTGCAGGTGTTTTCTGTCACCTTCTTCTTAAGAGCCATGTAAGGGCCAGGACCGTGACTCAGAGCAGGACTAGGAGAGGCTGTGTGGAAAGGCCTAGTTGTAAGCAGAGAGTGGCAGGAAGGAAAGGAGGCCTGCAGTGGCACTGTGCCTCCTGCTAGCCACATTAAGCTGCTTTCTTTTCCCCACAGGGGACAAAAAAGGAGCCTGGGCTGTGGACACCCTGTCCCACTTCCTCAGAGCCCCTGCCCTCTCCTGCAATCACCCTGTCCCCAGGCCCAGGACTGCTACATGGTTGGGTACCCTCTGCCCTTGCTTCACCCTTTGCAGCTGTACTCCAGCCCCAGCTGTGGCCCTTCCTGGGCATAAATCTTGCCTCTGGGTCCCCATCCAGGGCACTTGGGGCCTATGGCTAGATGACATCATGATAGAGGCCTATGGCTAGATTTCAGGTGGGGACAAGTCTTAAGGCATCCAGCCCAGAGTAGCCTCTGGAACCTCTGAAGCCCACCGCGGGTGAGCAAATCCCTCTGCTCACTGCAGCTTCCCTCTCCACCTTACCGGTAGGCCTTATGGTGTCCCCCAAAAGGCTCTGCACATGGCCCCAGAGACCCCTTCCAAGACCATCCATCAGCCCCTCCTCTGACTGCCTAGGTGCCCACTACCTGCTAAAATGCAGCCTTCCTCTATCCCAGTGCCTGACAGATTAATATGCTGCCTCAAAATAGTGATTTTAGGAACCAACACATCTGTACAGCTAATGAACTATGAAGCACACTTAGGGATGTGGTGTCATTTGTAAGGTGGGACAGCATGACTGAGTGCTTCCTGAGTGTGAAATTTGGCCCTTACCCTTACTAGTCTTCTGACTTCATCTGGAAAATGGGAATGACATTGACCCCTGCCTGGGAAAGTGTTAAATGGATCAGCGCATGTAAGGTGTAAGAAGAGCCCTGCCACGTGGTAGGTTCCCAGCAAGTGTTTGCTGGCAATACTGGCCAGAAATCTAACTAGCAACAGTTTGCTTTTTAATCATTACTTTTTATATGGCCACACCTGTGTCAACACTCGCTGTTTATTTTTTATGCCAGTTTGGAATGCAATGGCTGAGGGGCAGAGATTTTTCTAAAAGTGGCAAATTGTTTGTCTTTTACCAATCCCAGTTAGTAGAGCAATAAAGAGTAAAATAAAAGTGAACAGGAAGTAGGGAGACAGAGCTTTTGCAATGGGAAGGGAACCAAGAGCTGGGGAGAACAAAGGGAAGGGAAGGAAAGGGAGGGTGGAAAGAACGAAGAGAGTTCTTTATGAGGGTCACCTCCCCGCAAGGGTCATGGTCATTATGTACTAAAATGTGCACCAACAAAAATTTAAAATTTTTAAAAGGAGAAAGCCTGACGTTGAAGCTGTCTGCTGGAAGTGCTTTCTAGTGCCAATCTCAAACTGAGGCCTTCAGGACACCCGAACTACTGAGGCACACAGGCTTGGCAGCTCAGTGTTCATCTTACACAGAAATTCTTCCTACCTGTGCTTCAGGGCTGCCCACTTCCCACAGCTGTCTGCCTGTCCCAGTTCTCAGACCTAGGGTCTGGCCTGGTCTTGGAGGTGTACGCAGGCTTCTCTCTGCACAGAGGGACACAAGTGCAGCTCTCCTTACACAGAAAGGTCTGACTGCGCTATGCGACACAAGTCCCTCTGTGTCCCCTTCAATCTTCCCCAAACTCACTTGGCAAGGCCCCACCACCATCACCGTGTGCAGCGATGACCCCTGTCCTGCCTCATAGGTACTATAAGATCTCCGTGGTGCTCCTGTGCTTTGTGGTCCCCACGCTGGTGCCCTGGTACACCTGGGGAGAGAGCCTGTGGAATTCCTACTTCTTGGCCGCCATCCTGCGTTATGCCGTTGCCCTCAACAGTACCTGGCTGGTCAACAGCGTCGCCCACATGTATGGAAACCGGCCCTATGACAAACACATCAGCCCTCGGCAGAACCCACTCGTGGCTCTGGGCGCCATTGGTGAGTAGGGTGTTGGGGTTGGGAAGAGCAAAGGGCAGCCCCAGTTCTGTTGCCCTCTGAATGGCTTACAGGGAGTGTAAGGAGAGGAAGTGGAGTGCAGAGAACTTGTGCCGGTTCCAGAACCCTGGCTCTCGCCTGAGCCTTGTGGTTGCCATGATTTAGCTCTTTATCTGCTAAATGGAACACAGCGATGCCTACTTTGTAGGAACACATGGTGTGATAAAAATACAGTGAGTGACTATTTTATTTTCTTTTTAATTGTAAAAGACACCATTAGTTCTCCCTATCCTGTACTGCCTTTTGATTCAAACACCTCATTCTTTTGGAAGCGGTTCTGGAAGCCTTTCTTTGTGTCTTTAGCTGCACTGTGGCGTCTGCCCAATGTCCTGAATCGACTCAAAATGTTTACATTTCATGGTCATTTTGACTTGGAAAGAGCCAAGGGTCACATGGTGCCAGCTCTGGTGATTAAAGTAGATGAGGACAGACTGCTCACAAGCCCACCTTTCTGCGGGGTGACAGCAGCAGCATTTGCCGTAGTTTTGATAATGCCTTGTAAAGACATGAAAGAGGTCTTCTAGACCCACTTCACAGTGGTGGAATAAGTGTGCTTGATATGAGGGGAAGTATTTTGAGGGGGATTAATGGCAGTATGCCTTGCTGTAATTTTAAAAATTTAAACATTCACTGAATGTTTTGATAGTACCTGGAACTTACCTGTCTGAATAATTCTCATGTCGCCCTCCCACACTCCCCCCGAAGTCTTCCTGTCATCACTCCAGTCTGCAGAGACTGGTTTCCTTCCATGAACATAGAACACAGTGAGGATCTCTCACCACCCACATGGCAGGTAGAGCTCCGGCAAGTATCCCCTGGTCTGCAGTTTCCATGGTAAAGTTCATCCAGGGACCATGTTGTTTTTCTGCTCATATTTAATTTGTTAGCTAGCCAAGGAATTGCTTCAGAGGTCTGCAACCAACTCTTTTGCTCCTCACAGTCTTTGATATATGGTAGACCCTCAAAAAACAGGCAATAGAACAATCTGTGCTGGGAAGGGAAAGGGGTGATGGCGTTGTTCCAGTGCCACTTTGTGTTCCAGGTGAAGGCTTCCACAATTACCACCACACCTTTCCCTTTGACTACTCGGCCAGTGAACTCGGCTTGAATTTCAACCCAACCACATGGTTCATTGACTTCATGTGCTTTCTGGGGCTGGCCACAGACCGGAAACGGGCAACCAAGCCCATGATCGAGGCCCGGAAAGTCAAGACTGGGGATGGAAGTGCCTGAAGCTGGGACCATGACCTCATAGTCCACAGTGACACCCTGGCCTGTGGCTTTTGTCACTGTAGGTCTCTCATTCATGGAATCGTAGGAGAGGTTAGAAGGTATGGAAGAGGGGGATGGAATGTATACTATTGGGAAATTTTGTACTTGTCTCAAAACAATGTCAACTACAACTATCAATGAAAAAACTAATTTTAAGTCAATATTAGTACAGTCATTTAACATTAGAATGTGGACATGTGATTTTACTGCTGTAGCTACACTGTATCAAACATACATTGTTATGTGCTTGTACATGACGGTAACCTGGCAGGATGGACATTAAATTTCTCAGTGTGACCCAGGAAGCATTTGTTTTATTTTCTACTGATTAATCCAGAGTTGCTCTTAAGTGCACAAAAGGAAGAGAGAGACAGGAGAGAAGACAAAAGCAGAAGGACTTCAGAGTAATCAGAAAATATCCCTGGTTTGTCATTACTGTGTCTGTCTGGTTTTCTGTTTGTTCAAGAGAGAGAACTGGAAACCTTAAAAGCTGAGGATACAGGAGATAACACTTGTATTTTTTCTTCTTTTTTACCATTCTCAACTTGCCAGTATTCCACTGTCTTTCCCTACCCAGCTATTTTTATGTCCTGAACCGTACATGCAGCCCACCGCACAAATCAGTACCTGTTTACATGTTTGATTTTGTTCTCATTGCTATTGTTGTTTCAAAGGTGTATAACTCAGGCATGCTAGCATCAAATTATGCTTAAATTAAGCTCTCATTCAAATGCTTCGACACCTCATTTGTATTCTAATTGATCGCAGCCATCGATGCATGTACTTTACTTCTTCTATTGAATAAGTGTATTAATTTTCTACACAAAGCTATCAGATCCTAATAACCAACAGTTATCTGAGCTCTGTCTACTAATGTTTTATCTGCATGTAGCCATCATTGATTTTGTGGCAAAATAGAAAGTGATCATTATGTAGTATCTGGATTAAAACAATTTCTGGGACTGGGGAGATGGCTCAGTGGAATAAGCACTTCCCTAGCAAGTGCAAAGGTCTGAGTTCAATCCCTGGTTCCGCCAAAAAAAAAAAAAAACAACAATAAACAATTTCTGTGTGTTCAGTTGCTGTGTAGAGCATGTTGATGTAATGGGACGGCACGAACTTTCTGTTAGGTGTTAGGGCAAAAGAAAGGCTTTAGCGTGTTGATATCAGAGAGCTTTGAAGATAGGTATGTGCAGAAAGATGTTATTTTAAAATTTATATTTTAGGAAAGTGTATTAATACTAATTAGAAATTGTCATAATCAAGTTTCTTCATCCAGCAGGTGTTTAGCGGTGTTAATTTTGCCATTAATAATGTGTAAAGTACAAGTGATTTACAATAAATGACTACACATTCACTGGTGTTCTCCTCCGGATACTTAACGCTGTTTAGTGAGGGCTCTCAAGAGCATGTGATGGTTTATGACGCGCATTTGATGTAGCTCAGGGCTACTGACAGCCCGGGGCCAGGTCTCTCCATCCCACCTGTGGGGTCATGGCCTCTTTCCTCACCAATGCTGTCACTGCTTCGCTCTAGCTGACAAATGGGAGCCTGTGCACATCCCTGTCACCCGGTAGACACAAAGGGCACCTTTCTCCCCGAGACCCTGCGATGGTGAGTAGAAGTGGAGCGACGGACTTTCATCCTCACCCCAGTCCTGACTTTCTCAGCTTCGCTGCTGTGCCCCCAAGCCTCTGTCCTTGCCATCTGACATAGACCTCCTCACTGCAGGGACTGCAGCCACTGGTGGGTGCCAGGTCAGAGGCCCTCAGGCAGGGAACCCCTTGGACGCATGTACCCTCGCAGTTCTTCGGCTGCTTTATATCATATCCAGTCATGCACAGGTATACCTCATGTAAACCATGGCAGGGCAGAGTATTCCAAGGTGAGTTTGCGTCAGGATGACCTAAACTGGCTCCAGCTGGGAATGTGAACCTTTGAGCCCAAAAAGAGCTACACAGAACCTGCCCATGAATAGCAATGAGTAAATCTGGAGCAGGCACTTGAAATCTCATGACAGGAGCATGTTCCCAGCAGGTCTATTCAGACCCTCTCTCCTAGGAACCTGAGTGTGGTTTCTGTCTGCAGTGGTACCTACAAATGACAAGACGGTGGCGAAGGTCAGATCATTCTAGTGTCTCCCATATAAGTGACCTTTGTGGGTCTCTAACAGAAGAAAGAAGTCCTGCAGGCATTCCCCAAGGTCACCCAAGATAGCCCTAGGGACACTGCCACATTTTTTGAAAGGTTGGGGGGCCTGTGATAGGAGAATGATCTCCCCATGGCCTATCTGTAATCTCAGCCCTACAGGGCTCACTTTTGAAGCATCTACATCTAGTCCCCGCCAACAGTGTGAGCGCCATGACGCCTGCTTAGAGCTGGCCCAGGACAGCGCAGCCAACTCAAGGGCACAAGTCACAAGAGCCAGTTACGCTACTGGCCATCTGTGTGACCTTGAGAAAAATCATTCCTTCTGGATCTACTTTTCTTACCTAAAAAGAGAAAGAAATAAACAGACCCTGCGTAAAGCCCCCTCAGCTCTAACCTGCAGTGGCAGCAACCGGCAGGAGAATGTGCCTGACTTCAGATGTGAGACGCTTCCTGGAACCTGGAAGGTCAAAACTGAGGGGAAATAATGGAGTCTGAATAGAAGAGGCGAGACTAGGCAGAAGGGTAGAATGTTTTTATAAACGAGAAGAAGAAAAGAAGGGAAGAAGGGAGGGAGGGAGGAAGGAAAGAAGGAAGGAAGGAAAATTTCATTTGTTCCCAAAGTATAGTAAAATATAATCTATCATGAAAAACAACTTCATGAAAGAAAGCGCTGCAAAGTGTTCTGTGACTTAGTGGAGCAGTGCAAACCACACTGGACTCCAAGTCTTCAAACCCGAGTTTCAATCCAATTCCTGGCCTAACTCACTGTTTCCTAGGGTGCGTTTTTAGGCAGAACCCTTGGAAGTGCTGTTATGTGGTAAGCCTAAGTCTCAGAGTCCCCATCCCTAAGTGCTAACAGCCACATAGAGATGCATCAGAAGAATCTGGAAGGCTCTGATTGTACCTGGTGCGTGAGGGGCCCTGGGGACATCAATGAGGCTGAGTGTCCTGTCCTAGACACAGTGAGTGTCATGCACTGGACTGCAGGTTGGAGGTGGGGAGCCAGTGCTAGGCCTGGCTGGGCCGTGCCCTCACGCTAGGCTGTGGTGTGACCTTTCCTGTGTCCCCCTCATCCTGCCTCCACACTGTGCAGCGGTGTTTGCATCTGCCAGGTTGTTTCTGTCCTTCTCCAGAGCTGGGACAGACGTGTGAAGGGAAGAGGTCAAAGCACATGGATAAGAATGAGTTTCGAGGATCTCCTCTGAGGTTCCTTTGTATACTTCAGGCCCAGTGGCAAAGGAGAGGGCCAGCTATGCACTCTGTGGCCGCCACTGTGAAGAACAAAGAAACGAAGGACAATTCTAACCCTTACCACCACCCCTTTCTGATTTGCCCATTTTTAGCTCAGGGTGTCAATCCTAGCCCTTTCTTCCCCTTTCCCCTACGTCAGGGAAGTGCAGTAAATGACCTGGAAACTTCTCTCCTTGTTCTCAGTGTCCCTGTGGACCTCAGAGTACCCACCCCACCCCTGGGGAACTGCCTTGATTTCTAAATTTATAACATCAGAAGAGAGGAAGGAAAGCCTGGGTCTTGGGATGCCTGGAACGCAGCAGACCTGGCAGCCCCAGCGATGACCATGGCTCCATCGTCCTGCAAGCTAATAGAGCAGCCAGCTGCATCCTGTCTGCCACTCCTCCTGGACTCCAGAGGGACAGGGTGGCCTTCAGGGGCCTGGGCTACTAAGGTGGTGACACTTTTCCTTGGCCTATGTCTTTGTGAGACAAACATTTTATTGTGGGCTGCTAACCTAGGACTGCTCTGTACTGGGCTTAAACTCTGGTCCTTCACAATGAGCTATATCCCTAATCCTTTTTACTATTTTATTTTGTGACAGGGTCTAAGTCACTAAACTGCCCTGATTTAGGCTCAAACTTGTGATCTTTCTGCCTCAGCCTCATAGAGCACTGGGATGACAGGCATATTCCCAGTTTCCTTGCTGTCCCCCTCCCTTCTGCTTTCAGTCCTCTCCAAGGCAACCTTTCATGTCACTAAAGAGGAATTTCAGAAGTTATTTTTCTGCCAGAAACACTAACCTGTGGGCAGAGCTGACTGCCCTGTGCTATTCCTGGACAAAGAGATTGGGCTCAGTGGAGCACAGTGTGGTTATGATGTTTTGGTTTGTTTGTTGTTATTGTTGGGGTTTTTTGTGTTTTTTCCCCCAGATTTTAGGTTCATAGTAAAACACAGGTGCTATTCATGGGGGACTTCTGTCTTGGAGGTGTGACACGATGGGCAGGTGGGGTGATCTGACCCATGCTGGGGGGCAGGGCTAAGTGGGACATTGAGTGGCCACGTGGGTAGTGACTTTCCAGATCCTGTAAATAAGATTTTCACACCTGAGGTAGAAGGACCAGGAAGTTCGCTTCCATTCCTTCCTGGCCCTGCAGTTGGTACTGTGAATATGGCGGTTGTCTGAGCCCCTCTGTCTGTTCCTCAGAACTAAAAGGCACTGGAGGGTTCTAGCACCCTAGTGTTTGTTCCAAACATGTCAGCCAATGAGCTCGTTTTCTGCAGCTCTTGCCAAATGGAGCTGTTTGCAATGCACAGGATGGAAATTATCAGCTCGTTAGACATGTGCATGGTCCCACGGCAGCCAACCTCAGGAAAAAGATTAGCTGTGTGCTTTCAATTCTGTTTTACAAGCAAGGAGCTTTTTGTAGGTGGGAGAAATCTTTAAACAAGGAAGGAGTCAATGTTGTCATCAGTTTTTCAGTCTGACATGAAGGCAGGGACCTAGATCAGCCTTAAAACCCAGAAGAGCCTGGTTTTACCTGGCTCTTTGGCCCATGTTTACACAAGGAGATATTTAAATTGTTTATTTGTTGGGTTCGACTGGCTTAATATGCAAAGCCCCTGCTTTATCATTTGTAGTCCCTAAGAGCTAGAACTAACGATTTCAGAAGCCGACGGGAAGCGTGTGGGGTTTCTGTTGCTAAAATACCTGAGGCAGCTTAGAAAGAGGAAGGGTTCACTGCAGCTCGCGGATTTGTTGGTTCCGTCTATGACTCATTGGCTGTGTTGCTTTGGGCCTGTGGTGGCCTGTCATGGGTTTGCATATGGCAGAGCAAAGCCACTCACCTTAGGCCAGGATGCAAAAATAGAGGAGGAAGTGGCTGGAATCCCCCTGTCTCCTTCAAAGGCACAGTGCCGATGGCCTGAAGACCTGCCACAAAGACCCACCTCCAAAAGGCACCACCTCCCTTAGTATCACAGGCTGGGATGCCAACTGTAGCATCGCACTTGGCTCCCGAAGGCTGCACTTATCTGCCGCAAAATGCACTCTGTGCATTGAGTTCTTTCAATCTCTTAATTCTTCCAGTATCGCTCAAAAGTCCAACTCCAAAGTCTCCTCTCAAGGCAAACTCTTAGCTGTTGTGAGTCCCTATGAGAAATCAAAAATAGAAATTATATACTTTTAACCAACAGTGGTGGAAGAGGCATGCAGTAAATATCCCCATTCCAAAAGGAAGAGACAGGAAATCCCAGAGAAGGATCAGACCAAAGCACCGCAGCTCTGCACCTGGCCCTGGGACACACTGTGGAGCGAAGTGGACTCTCGGGGGCTGAGGCAACCCCTCACCTCATGGCTCTGCCCTCTCCTGCCTAGCTGTGCCTGCTGCCTGCAGTTTCCCTCAGCAGCTGTTCCGTATTTCTGGCATCTCTGACTTCCTGGAGTCTCCACTGAAGCCTTGGCTTCGCTCTTCACAGCTCTATGCATTGCATTCCCAGGGCTGACAGGAACTCTGCCCCTGCAACACACTGCTTAAAGAGAACCAGTAGCTGCTCGTTACAGTCACCTGCCATGATTGCGTGCCAGGTGCTGTGCTAAGAACCTTATTGTTCAGGATGTAGTGGCGTGTGTCTGTGACCCCAGCTCTTGGGAGGCTGAGGCTGAGGCGGGAGGACTGCAAGTTTGAGCCTTACCTGGACAATTTACTGAGACTGTCTTAAAATAAAAAAGGGGTTAGGAATGTAGCCCAGTGTTCCATGGGTTCAATCTTTAGTAATCCACCCCCTCCCAGAGGAAAAAGACCACTAAACCATTTGATATTTAGTCTTCAGATATCCTTATAAAGCAGGTATAATTTTGTACCCACTTTACAGATGGGGCAATGGAGGTACAAAGAGACATTGAGACATTTATTCAAGGATGCTCAACTAAGCTGGTCACAGAGGTGCATGACTGTAATCTGAGCCCTCTGAGAC